AATAATATAGGTATTATATCTATCTACAATTTAAAAATATTTTAAAAAAGAATAGCTAACATTGACATGGCAAAGCTTATTCTAAGTGCTCAACATATATTAACTCTTTTTAATTTTCTTTTTCCGTGGTGCTGGGAATGGCACCCAGGCCTTGTGTATCCTAGGCAAGTGCTCTACCACCGAGCTACACCTTCAGCTCCTATTCTTTCTCTCTTTTTTTTTTTTTTTGGTACCTGGGATTGAACTCAGGGCCGCTCGACCATTGAGCCACAACCCTAGCTCTAGTTTGTATTTTATTTGGAGACAGGGTCTCACTGAGTTACTTAGCACCTCAATTTTGCTGAGGCTGGCTTTGAACCCACGATCTTCCTATCTCAGCTTCCTGCGCTGCTGGGATCACAGGCCTGCACCACTGTGCCTGGCTACCCCCAGCTCCTATTAACTCATGTAATCATCACAACAACCCAAAGAGGTTGGACTGTCATTACACATATTTTACAGTCAGGGAAACTGAGGCTCTTAGAAGTCATGTGACTTGCTCAAGGTCACCCAATGAGTAAAATGCTGAAGTGTTTAGCACACTGAGTGTTTATGGTAAACACTCAGCCTGTTCATAATGTGACATAAATGATTATGAAGCCTTAATTTAAAAAATACCCTTCTTCAACTCTACCAGTCCATCAAATAAATCTTCAAAAGCATGATGGCCACCTGAGCCAGCAATTCCACTCCTAGTGGGATACCCTTATGCAATGAAAAGAACTGCCCAGGAAACAAATAGGGCTACATGAGAAATTCCCAACAAACTTAAATGTCCTTCCATGGGTGAATGGATAAACAAACTGTGATCCATCTATACAATGGAATATTATTCAGACATAAAAAGGAGTGAACTATGGACACAGCAAACAATACAGATGCACTTCAAATGCATTATGTTAGTGAAAGAAGCCAGACTCAAAAGGCTGTGTGATTCCATTTTCTGTGACCTTCTGGAAAAGACGAAAGTATTGGAACAGAAAGCAGATTAGTTGTTGCCAGGGGTTGGCAAATGGAGCAGGAGAATTTTTTATGATGGAAATGTTCTATATCTTGATTGTGGGGGACGTTACATAACTGTATATGTTCAGAACTATACACTAAAAGGGAGGATTTTACTGTGTGTAAATTATAGCTCATAAAATACAACAAAGAAAGAAAGAAAAGAAAAATTAAAAACCCCAAACATGCCAGGTAAGATAGGATAGAGCTTGGGAACCTCACCTGGGGTTCCTGACACAGCGGAAAGTTGCTAACCAGTCCTGGCCTGCCCTGGCTGGCCTCGCCTTCCTTCACAGGCTCAGAACCAGCAGGGGCACACACCCCAAAACAAGCCAAGTCAGGTTCTGGGAAAATCCACATCCTACCTTACCTGCATGCGGGAAATACAGAAAGAGCTTGTGAAACAGACATCACCAAACACATCAGATCCTGGCCATCCGAATGACCCTGGGGTCCCCAAACCTGAGGCTCTGATCAGCCTTCCATGCTAGAGCTTAAGACCTCTCTGCAGTTTCCCTCTTGAAAATCTTTAAGTAGGAATCTTGCTACAACTGGCTAAGCCAACACTAAGCAGGTTCACCAGTTACCATTAGGAATGCATCAGCCACTGTGCTAGGGTTGTGAAGACACAATTAGAATCTAACTGTCCCTATGGTCAGGGCCACAGGACAGTGTCATCAGGGGTTTGAACAAAGTGGCCAGTCCTTTTTTCTGAGGGTGGATTGGATTTCTGCTGACAGATTGGTTACTGGAATCCAGATGAGGCAAACAAGGGGTTCCTCATGCTTGCAACACTCATCAAAAACAGGGGAAGCGTGGCATGGTGGGGGTGCTGAAGCCTCAGCTACTTAGCGGCTGAGCAGGAGGATCACTTGAGCACGGGAGTTCCAGGGGCAGCCTGAGCAACATCTCAAAACCCAAAACAGAGGGGGCACTGGGGCTGCAGCTCAGAGGGAGACTATGTCTTTAGACTGTAGAAGGCCCTGGGTTTGTTGCCCAGTACCACATATAGCCCCCACCCCAACCAAAACCAAATAACAACAACAACAACAAAAGAATTCTATTTCTTAAGGCTGCTTCTGCCCTTCAATGATATGAGCTTCTTGAGGGTGATGAGGGGGTGGAAATTATTTGTATGCCTAGCTGGTGACCAGCATGTAGGTGGCACAACAAAGATTTGTTGCCTGCTGAGTAAGTGTGGGGTTCATAAAAGCAGTCACCAAAGGGAATTTCCAGAACATTCTGAGTTCATGGGAATAGGTGTGAAATTTCCACAAAATGCATCTGTTTGAACACCATAATGTTTTGTCTAACTGGAACCCAGATATACAGACTAACCTACTCAGATCACATCAGAGAAGCAGGGAATTGGCAGAAAAGGGAAGTGGCAAAATGTGGCTAGATTTTAGGGGTTTTGATCCTGCCTCCTTGGCCTTCCGCAGTTAAAGCCTTGACTAACTCAACTTGGTAGGTTTTATCTGGTAACCTTTGAGTAAATTACCCCCTCCCTGTCCCCAGAAGGGCTGAGAGAGGCTTTCAGGTTGGGACACAAAGGGCCTCAAAATACTGTGGATCTTACCACTGCCAACAGGGGAAAAAAAAAAGATCTTTGCTTTTGAAAGCACAGTTATAAAAAAACTTTGTGTTTTCACTTGTTTTTGTCCAGCTAACCCCAGTGAAAAAATGATGAGTTTTTGAAGACACAGCACTGGTTTCCTTTGCTCTGGAGAAGAGAATCCCCAAAGGCTATAGTTTCACAAGTTTCCAGAATGGAATGTGGATGACTAAATTCCAAGCACTGACTCACCCTGGTCCCAACCCCTTCCCCTGTGAATCATCAGAGATCTACCTGTATGGACTGCTTGTTGTTCCCCTGATGCCAGGCCTCTGAGTTCTGAAGGGTTGGTTCAACAGTGGATGAAGGCTCAAGGGTAGGATCTGGAGACAGGAGCAAGCAGGAGAGAAGGTGAAGTGAGACAAGTCCTGTTTGCTCCTCAGCCTGTCCTGAAGGTTTCAGTGTGTGCATGAGTCCTGCTGTGTTGGTACTCAATCTCCCTGGTAGCTCCTGACAGCATGATCAAGGGAACAAAAGCATGCCATTGGCCCCAGACTAGCAACGCCAGTAGAAAGACTATGAGAAGACCAAAAACTAGCTGGTATTTAAAAATGCTTGAATAGGAGGATGGGGGTGTTCAGCGGTAGTGCTTGCCTAGTGTGCTCAAGGCCCTGGATTCAATCCAGCACCACAAGATTAAGGGGAAAAAAAGTTAGAATAGGCACATCATTAAAGTAAAAAGAAGTAAGAAAAAAATTAAAGAATTGGGTGCAGTGGCTTATGCTGTAACTTCAGTGGCTCAGGGGTAATGTGTCCCTGGGTTCAGTTCTCAGTTGGGAAGGGGAGGCTAGTTTTAAAAAAGTAAAAGGAAACAAGGGGCCTGGCATGGTGGTGGACACCTGTAATCCCAGCAGTTTGGGAAGCTGAGGCAGGAGGATCACAAGTTCAAATCCAGTCTAAGCAACTTATCACAACTTAAGGAGGCCCTAAGTAACTCAGTGAGACCCTGTTTCTAAATAAAATACAAAAAACGGCCAAGGATGTGGGTCAGTCAGTGGTTCAGCACCCCTGGATTCACTCCCCAATACCAAAAAAAAAAAAAAAAAAAAAAAGGAATTTAATTTTAATCCATTAAGTCCAATTTTACATAGGACAATGGGACATCATGGATTACTCATTTATTTTAATCCAGTACAGCAAAAATAATATCACTTCAACCTGTAATCATCATAAAATGTTATGATTTAGTGATGGAAACATTCATAGTTTATTGCTACAGTGGAAATATTTGCATTTTCTCAATTATTTAATTAAATTAATTAATTATTTTTAAAAAAATATTTATTTTTTAGTTGTACACAATACCTTTATTTTGTTTATTTATTTTTATGTGGTGCTGAGGATCGAACCCAGGGCCTTGCACGTGCTAGGCGAGTGCTCTACCGCTGAGCCCCAGCCCCAGCCCCTCATTTATTTTACAGTTAAATATTTTTTACTTGCCCTTTGCCTTCAGTTTAATTTCTTTCAGGATTTTTTCACATGTATTTAAATAATGGTATGGTAGTCATTCAGGATGGAAATAAAAACCATCTTTTCATTAAACAAAACAAAATAGCTATTATGAAACTTTTTCTTTACATTCACCCTTTCATCCTGTTTAAAATCTGTATTTCAACATTAACGGAACAATTTGGGAAGGCCACTTTTCAGGAGCTCAGTAGCCAACGTGACCAGTAGTAACCACACTGGACAACTGCGCAGGTAGGGACAAACGTGGGCTTCCTGCTTACAGGACCGAGCAAGGTGGGACAGGGGCTGTTACTGAAAAGGGCAATGAACACAACCCCGCAATGGGGCTGGGGTTCAAGTTGCAGGTTGGGGGACTCGAGGTAGATTTAAGCCCCTCCATTTCTCCTTTCCTTCCCTCCCACTCAGGACAGATGGAATCCCCTCACCACGGCGGCCGTGCCACCCAGGCTCTCCTGCCCGCGCCCTCACTCCCCCAGGCCTCTCCGGAAGCTCCCCAGTACCCCAAGGGCCGCCCACCTTGGAATTCACCTAGCTGCGCCGTCCGCCATGTGGACGCTGCCCTCCCTGTCACTCAACTTCTCCCGCCCCCAGCCTCGCCGTAACCTTCGCTTCGCTTGGTTTCCACAGCTACGCCACCAAGGGGCGGGTCAAGGGCGCGCGCGGCGCTGTCACTCTCTTTTGATTGGTGGGTGGCCAAGCCCCTTCTTTCAGCCACTCCTGCCCTTGCTCCGCCCCGCCTCAGTGGGTCCCGCAAGCTGATTGGCCAGGCCTGTGGTACGAGTGTCTGGTTTTCGCTCGGACTGTGGCTGAGAGGCGGGGGCAACGGTGGGCTCCCTTCTCACTGATTGGTGGACAGGGCGCGCGCGGCAGGGAAGGGCGGGGCGGCTGAGGAGCCGCAGTCTCGCGCCGCGGTCGCGAGCGTGTGAGGGCCTGTGTGCTGTGTTTCGCGGAGATAGAAAGCCGTATCCGCAGTAGTAGAAGCAGGAGCCACACTGTGAGGGAACCATGAAGCATTATGAGGTAAGAAATGAGGAAACGTACCGAACTGCCCCGTAGACCTATTCTTTTTTCTACTTTGCGGGACCACGGTATCCCCGCTTTCTCGTCTGGTGCCTCGGAGAGAGCCGGACGGACGCGCAGGCGCAGTGGGCAAGCGCTGCGACCGAGGCTGCTCGTAAAACCCAGAGCGCATGTGCGGGGATGGTATTTATAAATCTGCAACCCAGGCTGTTTTGGGGGTGCCTTCTCTTGGGGTCTCTATAGGGCGTGGGAAAAGCTTCCTTGAAGCTTCGCCAGCGGGCCGAGTTCTAGAGTTTGTCCAGGGAAGAGCGAAGGTGGCGAACCCTTGCTTTCAATCCCGGAGTCTCGCCCAAACCTTGCACCGTGCTACCGCCTGGGGTTCAGGAAGGGGCTCTGCAATCAGTCCTCTCCTGTATGACCTTGGATCCCATCCCTCACCTGGCGAGTTCCCTGAGAGCCTAGGCAGTGAGGGAGACGCAACTCCACGGCCCGTTCCTGCCGAGCAGCAAAGCAGATCGGACTTTCTGGTGACCTAAGAGATCATTTCTGACAATCCCTGCTTGTCACCAAGGAGAAATCTTATGCCCGCAGCCGCTCTTGAAGCCCAAGTCATCTGACTCTTAATTTTAGGTTTCTTTTTCTCTTAAAACGAATCGTCTGATGTGTTTATCGATCTAGCTGATAATATATTAATAATTTATTGCTGACTTAAGTAATTATCATAAATAATAAACTACTGTATTATGCATCATAGGAAGAATAATTTTGCAAGTGCTTACTCTTGTGCTAGTGAGATTCTGTTACATTCTTCTCATCCTCACAGTCCTATGAGGTAGAAGAAGAAAGTCTAAGAAGTGACTTGTCCAAAGATCTCCAGCTAGTAAATGCAAACAGAAGAAATCAGGAGTTCAGGGTCATAGTTCCTTGTTACAAATTGCCACACAAATTGTTAAATGAAGCTGGGGATATAGCTCAGTTAGTAGAGTGCTTGCCTCACATGCACAAGGCCCTGGGTTCAATCCCCAGTACCACCAAAACAAAGTAAAAAAAGATGTTCAGTTACAAATTGTTAAATGAAAAGTATCAAATTGAGAGATTTTTTGTTCTCCCTCCTCCTCAAATGTTAAAATTGTGATAAAATTTACCCTCAACCTTTTTAAGTATACAGTTCAGTGGTATCAAGTACATTCACATTATTGTGCAGCTGCCCCTATGAGCTATCTCCCAAACTCTTTTTTATTTTCAAGATTGAAACTCTGTACCCATTAACAATAAGTCCCTATTCCCTGCTCCCCCAGCCTCTGGCACCCACTATTCTTGTCTCTATGAACCTCGAATAAGAAGAAGAGATCTTTTTTTATTGTTGTTTTCTTTTTGCTACCAGGAATTGAACCACTTGACCACTGAGCCACATCCACAGCCTTCTTTGTTTTTTATTTTGAGACAGGGTCTTGCTGGGTTTCTGAGGCTGACTTTGAACTTTTGATCCCCCTACCTCAGCCTCCTGAGTCTCTGGGATTATAGGCATGCTCTATTACATCTGGCCTTTTTGTTTTTTATACAAATTGGATATCACTACCTCTACCCATTCCCTTTATTATTATTTTTGGTAATTTGCTCAGTATCCTTTGGAACCTTTGATTGAAATCCTCATTTTTGACATGATGACAAGAACTAAGAGGTAGGAGTGGATAATCTCTTATGCCCTATTCATCTTTAGGATTCCAGAATAAAGTTCTTCTCATGTGGGTTCCCCTCTCAAACCCTCTGTCTAACCCAGGAGAAAAAGCCATGTTCAGTAGGAAAAATGCAGATGGGAATCTGCTAAAGCAGGCCTGTCAGGATGCTGGGGCACTTTTTTTCCCCAGAAGCTGGGTGCAGCTTGAGCACATAGATTGAACTTGAAAACATGTTAGACTCTACTTAAACTTTTCTCTGCCAGGAGGACCCTTGTTTTCATTCCCCAGCAAAACAAAAAATCAGTGACCTGGTGAGGGGCAGTTGTTCTTATTATCATTCTCTGTTAACATCGCCCAATACCTACTGAGGTGATAGCTAAACAGGTTTCTGAGGAGCTGTTGTCTTGCAGCCCAGTTCTCTGGGCAGGCAGATTAGTTTTACTCCCAAGTGTTTCTTCACAGCAATGAAAATAGAGGAGAGGCTTTCACTCATACTTAACAGTTTGAGAAGAGGTTTCAGTTTTCCACGTCAAAGAATATATTTCTGCTTGGGACTAAGTCTGTCCTTCATCCTCCAGTCCACTGACAGGTTGGCCCCTGGAGAGAACTTGGAGAATATGAAGTGTAATTTATTTTTTACTGTTTGTGGTACTGGGGATGGAACCCCTCGCCTCATGTGTGCTGGGCAAGCACCCTACCATTAAGCTACACCTCCGAAGTGCTGTGTACATGTGATAGAAGTGATGCTCAGCAGAGTGCAGGACTCCTTCACTGTCATATAGCTAGTCTGTGTCAGGTCAGGATTTGATGCATGGCAGTTAGTGTCTCAACTGGAGGAGAGATTGGTAGCTGGTTTGCTAAATTTCTTCTTTCTTAACCACTCAGCCACATCCCCAGCCTGTTTTTAATTTGAAACAGGGTCTTGCTAAGTTTCTTAAGGCCTCACTAAGTTGCTGAGGCTGGCCTGGGACTTTCGATCCTCCTGCCTCAGCTTCCTGAGTTGCTGGCATTACAAGTGTGCTCACCATACCTGGCTGTTTTGCTAAATTTCATATCACTTGCCAGTCTCATCTAGGAGGAAAAAAAAAATGTTCCTTGTGTGGCCTAGTTGAGATGAAGCTCGTAGCACAGGTCACCCTTGGGCCTTAGCTGCAGCCAGCTCCTTGGAAAGGCAGAGCCAAGCTTGGGATTACGTGGGGTCAGAGCACGGGTGAGAACTGCTTATCCTAGGCTACGGGAGTTTTTTCTTTTTTTTTTTTTTTTTTTAAATATTTATTTATTTTAGTTCTCGGCGGACACAACATCTTTGTTTGTATGTGGTGCTGAGGATCGAACCCGGGCCGCATGCATGCCAGGCGAGCATGCTACAGCTTGAGCCACATCCCCAACCCCATGGAGTTTTTTCTTTTATTGCTGTTTTTCACCACTACAGGCAAAGGTGATCCCAGTAGCAGCTAGAAAAACAGATACTGCATCTGACAAATGAGCCTATAAATTCCTGGGAAAATCAATCCATCTTTAGCCTGTGGGAGCTCAGGTCACCATCCATTTCCTGCAGCCCAGGACCTGGAGGCTAGGAAGCCCTTATTTAGAATCTTCCATCTCCCCACAAGGGTAGTGCTCTTGGTACCCATCTTGCAAGTCATCCTAGACCAGTTTAATATCTTACCTCAGGCAAGTTCTTGCTTTAATTTTCTCCATGAGAATAAGTATGAAAGTTCTAGAAGCAGAGTTCTGGTCAAGGGGCAATTGTTTGGAGTCAGAAAATTGGGTAGGAAGGTGACAGTTAAGGAGAAAGTAGACAACTTGTACATAATGGTGTCATAGGTGTGTGCACTTTGGACAGGCCTGGGGCTGAATCCTGGCATTGTGTTAATTAAATAGTTATTTGACTCAGATTAATTAACCTCTCTATGCCTTTCTGTGGTTGAAACTCACTTGCAGCAGCAGAACATTATGAAATGGCTAGACATATGTAATATGTCTATGTGTAAAGGTTATGTGTAAAGGAAGAGGTTCATCCATTTCAACTGCTGTGCACATCCACTCTAAGAAGAAAATCCTGAAAATATACAATTCTTTTATAAATCCCCAAACATCATGTTTTCATGTTGAATGGAAAAAAAGCAAGTCGCAAAAGATCCTATAAATATAAATATGTGTGTGTGTGTGTGTGTGTGTGTGTGTGTATATATATATATATATATATTTTTTTTTTCTTTTCTTGCTGGGGGTTGAATCTAAGACCTCACACGTGCTAGGCAAGTACTCTACCACTGAGATACACACTCAGCCCAAGATCCTGTAAACTTAAAAAATTTAAAATCCCTCGGGGCATGGTGGTGCCTGCCTGTAATCCCAGTGGCTCAGGAGGCTGAGGCAGGAGGATCTCCAGTTCACAAGTCCTGGAGTCCTGGAGGTGAGAGCAGCATTGGGCCTGGAGAGCTGTGATCTGGTGAGCTTTGAACACCCCTCCGATGCTAGCATGCCTCCTACCAGGATCACAGTTTGTTGGAGGGGGGTCTCAGGCTTTTTAGCTTCTTGTACTGAGCAGATGGTAACTCAGTTGGCAGATTCTCCTGGTTGAGACCTTTCTCTTATTATTATTATTATTTTTTTTTGTGGGAAAAAAAAAAAGCGAGGGGCTAAGCAACTCAGTGAGACCCTGTCTCTAAATACAAAATAGGACAGGGGATGTGGCTCAGTGGCCAGATGTCCTTGAGTTCATCCATACCCTCCCCCCAAAATTAAAATCCTACCAAATGAGATTTCTATTCCTTATGGTCATATATATAAAAAAGCATAAATTGTAATAATTTATAAATTTATGGTCATAGCATAGTAGTTAGAGGGGCTGTTGCTTATTTGGGCAGGAAGTAGTGGGGGAGCTTTAACTCATTTGTTTTTTTTTTTTAAGGAATCTGAAGTAAATCTGAAGGAAAATGTAAATATCTGTTAAACCTGGGAGTTGAAATTGCTTCTGTTTTTTTTTCCAAACTGGTGGTGAGCGCATGAGGAAGTACTCTACCACTGAGCCCCCCCCCCCCCACTGTCCTTTTGTTTTGTTGTTGGCAAATAATATCAAGGACAGATCCCATTTATTGTGTCTTCCGAGGACCCTGAGATTTAAGTACGCTTTGTTCATAAGGAACCTAAGGCCCAGAAAGGCGATGAACTTCCCCAAGGTCTCCTCGCGGGATCCGACCAGGTCTGTGTGCCTGGTGGGTAGAAGAGCCTGGGCCACAGAGGGGGAAGAGGTTGCTGCTGGTGGCAGCTCGCCGTCCATGAGCCCTGTGAGCACCTGATGAGGTGGAAACCTGG